TTGGCCACTCTGACTGGCGTGAGGTAATATCTGAGTGTGGTTTTGATTTGTATTTCCCTGATGAGGAGAGATGTTGAGCATCTTTTCATGTGCCTGTTGGCCATCTGGATGTCTTAAAAATATGGAACGCTTCGCGAATTTGCATGTCATCCTTGCACAGGGGCCATGCTAATCTTCTCTGTATCGTTCCAATTTTAGTATATGTGCTGCCGAAGCGAGCACTGGTTTTCTTTTTCAAGATTGCTCTATTTGTGATCTTTTCTGGCTCCATAAAAATTTTAGGATTGTTTGTTCTAGCTCTGTGAAGAATGCTGGTGTTTTTTTGATAGGGATTGCATTAAATATGTAGGTTGCTTGGGTAGTATCGACATTTTAATAATATTTGTTCTTCCAATCCAGGAGCATGGAATATTTTTCCTTTTTTTGTGTGTGTCTTCTTTAATTTCTTTCATAAGCTTTCTGTAGTTTTCAGTGTATCGATTTTTGACAAAATATATCATTCATTCTTGATAAAAACCCACAAGAAAGTAGGGATAGAAGTATCATACCTCAAGATCATAAAAGCCATATATGAAAGATTCACTGCTAATATCATCCTCAATGGGGAAAGACTGAGAGCTTTCCCCCAAAGGTCAGGAACACGACAGGGATGTCCACTCTTGCCACTGTTATTCAACATAGTACTGGAAGTCTTAGCCTCAGCAATCAGATAACACAAAGGAATAAAAGACATCCAGATCGGCCATGAGAAAGTCAAACTTTCACTCTTTGCAGATGACATGATACTCTATTTGGAAAACCCCAAAGATTCCACCAAAAACAGCCAGAACTGATCCATGAATTCAGCAAAGTCTCAGGATGTAAAATCAATGCACAGAAATCGGTTGCATTCCTATGTTCCTTTACACCAATAATGAAGCAACAGAAAGAGAAATCAAGGAATCGATCCCATTTACAATTGCACCAAAAACCATAAAATACCTAGGAATAAACCTAGCCAAAGAGGTATCATGGTTTTTTGTTTTTTGGGTTTTTTTTTTTTACATTTATTTATTTTTGAGAGACAGAGACAGAGCGTGAGCAGGGGAGGGGCAGAGAGAGAGGGAGACCCAGAATCAGAAGCAGGCTGCAGGCTCCAAGCTGTCGGCACGGAACCCAACGCGGGTCTCGAACCCACAAACCGCGAGATCATGACCTGAGCTGAAGTCAGGTGCTTAACTGACTGAGCCACCCAGGCACCCCTCATGGTTTTTTGTTTTTTGTTTTTTTAAGCAAAGTATAAAACTGCATATACTAAAAAATCTTTTCAATATTAAAAAATATATACTATTTAGGAAAAGGACAGAAGAAAAGCTGCCAATATTTTGACAATATTTGTCTTTGTATTAAGAATAAAAGTTTAGGGGCGCCTGGGTGGCGCAGTCGGTTAAGCGTTCGACTTCAGCCAGGTCACGATCTCACGGTCCGTGAGTTCGAGCCCCGCGTCAGGCTCTGGGCTGATGGCTCAGAGCCTGGAGCCTGTTTCCGATTCTGTGTCTCCCTCTCTCTCTGCCCCTCCCCCGTTCATGCTCTGTCTCTCTCTGTCCCAAAAATAAATAAACGTTGAAAAAAAAAAATTAAAAAAAAAAAAAAGAATAAAAGTTTCCCTGCCTTTTTATATTTTTCCATGCTTTCCAAAATTTCTGTGTAAATGCTTTATTTGGTAAACAGAAAAAAAGACCATTGCTCTTAGTCTTTTTATTTTTCACCTATTTAGACTTCACATTCCTCAATAGATAATTGAACTAGATAGCTTCTTATACCTCCCTCTTTTTCTAATATTCTTTATCATGTGAGAAAGCTATGACTTTATTCCTTATGTTTTTTTTTTAATTTTTAATTTTTTTTAATTTTTTAATGTTTTTATTTATTTTTGAGACAGACACAGAGCATGAGCAGAGGAAGGGTAGAGAGAGAGAGGGAGACCCAGAATCCGAAGCAGGCTCCAGGCTCTGAGCTGTCGGCACAGAGCCTGACACAGGGCTCAAACTCACGAGCTGTGAGATCATGACCTGAGCCGAAGTCAGACACTCAACCAACTGAGCCACCCAGGCACCCCAATTCCTTATGTTTTGTGTTAAGGAGAAGCTTTCAAGCAGAAGAAGGAGGAGGGTGCCAATGAGTGATTTAAACTATTTGAATAGTGGTAGAGGATCTGGGAATGGATCCCAAGAGGTAAAAAGGGAATCTTTGTCATTTAGGGAAATTTTATTGGTAAATAAAAATTATTGTCAGATGCATTTTTTTTGGTCAACCTTCCTCCCTTTCTCCATCTAGCCTGTGTGTTCCATAAGAAATATAGTCAATAAAGATCAACAGTATCTTTACCAGCTTACTGTAATTTGTGGTAGGCCATAAAGCATCCCTGATGGAAATAATAGGGATAATGTTTAACTGGCTATGAGAAAAGAATATTACTCTTTTTCTACTCTGATTCCAGCAACCATGATGCAACATATTTCCACTGACATTGAAGCATGTCAGTTTTTCCCTCAGATGACCAGCTCTAAAGATGATGAAAGTTAGTATCAGGAAAGAAGGCAGTGACCTAAAGTCAAGGCACATTTATCATTCTGAAATAGAGGACTTTCCTCTAAGTTCCTCTTTTTATATGAGGTCTTTAGAAGTGGACAGTGATGCAATGCTAAAACTGTTAATTGCATGATCAGCCCTAGCATTTGACAGCCTGTGACTTAGCTGTCCTCTCATGTCAGGAAAAAGCCACACATGAAAACCTGTTGTAAACTGAATGTGCTGAGCCATGCCAGTTTGTCAGCCAGGCAGCTCAATGTTCTATCATGAGTTCAAAAAGGGAACAGAGTAAGAAGTTTGGTGATGGACCTGTGTGTGCCCTTTGCCCAGAAAGAGAGGCACTTATTGTTGGACTTAGTGAGTGTCGAGGCCCCGTGCTGGGGTGAAAAGATCTGTGTGTGAAGTCTTATGGTAGCATTCAAAGTCCTGGTGCTAGGCTTCACCCACTAGGGTTCTCCATTGCTTTTAAGTGGCAACCAAGAACAGGAGAGGGAGAATTTTTCCTTTTCTGTTGCATTCTAGGTACGTCCTCCTCTCCTTCTTGACCCCACACTACTTCCAACACACATGCACACTACCTCCTCTGCTCTCTCTCCTTTATTAGACTTATGTCCTTTTTACTCCAAAGTCTAGCATGCTGGTCAATAGAACTAGAGAGATTTGGGCAGGTATTAGGGGCCTTCTCAACATAGGTTTTTTTTGAGCCTGCTCTTGCTTTTATTGCCATCTCTTTGTTGCCACCTCAGATGAAAAGGCCCCATGAGGCAGGAAACAGATGATACACATGGTATTCTGGTAACTCTGTTACATGACTTTACTATGCAAATGAGTTTTATCCCATGAGGTTTCATGCTCTAGTATGTTGCCTTCTCCTGGTGAACTTTTCTGATACCCTTTCTTATTTAATCTATAACTGGCATCTGTGTTCCAATGATATTATTTCTCCTAGCCTCTACAAAGCCTGCAGCATATTGATAATGTTCTGTCTTTGTGGTTGAAAATAAATGGCCTAATCTCATCACCCCTGACTTGAGGGTGAGCTCACATATAAACTGTTTTAGGATGTCAGAATTGTAAAAAATAGGTGCAATAGACACTAGTCACATGTGGCTATTGAACACTTACATGTGCCTGATTCAAATTAAGAAGTATTATAGTTCCAAAGACTTAGTAAAAAGGAATCTAAAATATGTCATCAATAATTCTTTTATTGATCACATGTTGAAATGATACTGTTTTGGATTTATATAAATATACATATATATGTGTGTGTGTGTGTATATATATATATATATATATGTCAAATACAAATATATATTTTTATATATATAAATAAAACATACCATTATAATTAAAAAGTTGTAAAATAGGCAGTTCCTTGTTTTTGTCATTTTGAAGAATTCAGAAAATTTTCAAGAAAAGCTATTATGGTCATATAAATAGAAATTTGATCCAGGATGTTACTGATGTAATTCTGGAAGTAAATGTGGAAGTATGGTATTTGCTCAAAGACTCTAGTTTGGGTTAGGTTTTCTTTTTCCTCATGTAGAGTAAAACGAGAGTGAGTCACCTAACATGATACATAGCCATGGGATCATTTCAAACTCCTTTCCTCCCTTACACCCCTTTTCCAATTCCTCTTATTCCTTCCACTTCCAGGTTGTAGATGAGCATGAGAGTGTAGAACAGAGTCGGCGAGCACAAGCTGAGCCCATCAACCTGGACAGCTGCCTCCGTGCTTTCACCAGTGAGGAGGAACTAGGGGAAAATGAGATGTACTATTGTTCCAAGTGTAAGACCCACTGCTTGGCAACCAAGAAGCTGGATCTCTGGAGGCTTCCCCCTATCCTGGTATGTTTCAGCCCTGCCTCTGAGAGAGCAGGAGCCTAGCATAAAAGAAAGAAGCCATGAACTAATAGGAATTTTGTTACTTTTGAGAATAAAACCTTCCCTGTGGCAGTGCTTAAAACACTTGTGCTGTGCAAGGATTTTGTGTTGCACACAGGGATTAATTATTCTACACGTGTTATTACCAGTTCTGCTCTGAAGGAGCATACAGGCTAGAAGGAGAGAGAAGTCATTAAGTGGAGAGAGAGACCATTAATTGTAGTTCAGTGCAGTATGTGAGAAGTGCCACAAGTTCTGCGTCTTGGTGAATTTGAACTTCAGGAGAAGGTGAAAGCACTTGTGGCTCTAGAGAGAGAATCTTTATGCTCGCCCTTTAGGCTCTTATGTAGAAGTACAGCTGAGCCTCAGTCTCCAGTCCCATTGTGCTTGGTCACATGGCCACAGCACAAGCACACAGGTGCACTTGGGCTTATGTGTTCTTTTACACGTGATTTACTACTTCTGCCTTTTTCCTTCATGGAATAGAAGATGCTTCTGTTGCTCATCAGGAGTGTTTGAAGTGACAGATCTTCCTGTTCATTTAAGAAAATTTTTTCTGTACAGGTAGAAGTATCATAGCAAATGTAACTGTAAGGCATTGATATGTTTAAAAGAATATTTTTTAATGTTTAGTTTTGAGAGCGCGCGAGCGAGTGCAAGTGGGGAGGGCAGAGAGAGAGGGAGACACAGAATCCGAAGCAGGCTCCAGGTTCTGAGCTGTCAGCACAGAGCCTGATGTGGGGGTCGAACTCATGGACTACAAGATCATGACCTGAGCCGAAGTCAGTCGCTTAACCGACTGAGCCACTCAGGTGCCCCAGGCATTGATATATTTTAACTAGACCTTGTGTGTACTTTTTTATTCATGTTTTTTTTTTTTTTATTACTATGTGAGACTGTAAATGTAGGTTTTTCTTTACTTAGACCAGAAAGACTTCCCAGGAATGGATGCCTAGGAAATTAATAACATTGATTAGCTAGCTCCAGGGATGAGAACTCTGGGAAGAGACGAAAAGGTCAGGGCAGGCTTGGGATAGGTAGGTGGGAAGGGGGCAAGTTTATTTTTAATTGAGGTATAATTAGCATGAAATTAAATGCATAGATTTTAAATGTCAGTTTGGTGAGTTTTGATAATTATATATACTTGTATAATAGTCACATAGAACATAAGCAGTAAAGGCATTTATATAAAAACTATGTTTTTGATATCTTTAAAGAATAATGAAAAATAAATATTATGTTGAGAGCTTGGTGGACTGCTGTAGAACCATATACCAGTATGTCCCTTAGGAAGAGTTTCTCTTTATATAAATAGTAAATTGTTAGTATTTAGGATAGAGATAGCCACCCAAAGATCTGTGCCCACACTAGACTGTATTATAACACTGTACAAAGATTAGAGGAATTTGTTGCTCTTGGAAAAGAAAAGAGAAGGCAAAAAGGAGAAGGGAGATTCTTATTATGCTCTTTAGGACATTGAAACTCCCTGGTGGGAACCAAAGGATATGGTAAGAAATGAGAAGCCTCCTATCGGAGATTGGGTAAGTTTCATCTGTGAAAATTCCTCCATTTTTCTTCAAAATATTCAGTATAGTCTTCTGTCTTCATGAGTATATTTGTGGATGGATATTCTGTGATGTTAGAGAAAGGTAAAGATCAGTCTGGGTGACAGGCCCAGGAAACAGAGGAAAACATGCAAAATACAGACACCCAGGATGTTGCAGAAATTTGGGAGAGAATTTTGGATATGCATAGACTATGAAATTAGGGAGATTATCATGTTAGCTATATATCTAAAGGCCAGTGGCCCCACTGATAACTCCATTAAATAATAAGATGCATTCTTTTTGAAAAAAATGTATATATTGTTGAACATGTATTAGACTTGAGGTTTTTTATTTTTTTTTTTTTTTTTTCAACGTTTATTTATTTTTGGGACAGAGAGAGACAGAGCATGAACGGGGGAGGGGCAGAGAGAGAGGGAGACACAGAATCGGAAACAGGCTCCAGGCTCTGAGCCATCAGCCCAGAGCCCGACGCGGGGCTCGAACTCACGGACCACGAGATCGTGGCCTGGCTGAAGTCGGACGCCTAACCGACTGCGCCACCCAGGCGCCCCGACTTGAGGTTTTTTAAATGTAATTTTGTATCTTCAGAGCCCTTTAATGTAATTGTTTTCTACCTTTCCTTCTCCAGATTATTCACCTTAAACGATTTCAATTTGTAAATGGTCGATGGATAAAATCACAGAAAATTGTTAAATTTCCTCGTGAAAGTTTTGACCCTAGTGCTTTTTTGGTACCAAGAGACCCGGCTCTTTGTCAGTGTAAGCCACTCACACCCCAGGGGGATGACCTCTCTGAGCCCAGGGTTCTGCCAGGAGAGGTGAAGAAAGTGGATGCTCAGAATTCAACTGGGGAAGAGGATGTGTTCCTGAGCAAGAGCCCATCTTCACTCAGTGCAAACATCATCAGTAGCCCTAAAGGTGAGGAAGCCTGAAGGGCCTCATGGAGCCCAGATGTCATCCTGAGAGGGGCTTTCCTGGGACCCCTGTAGGTTGCGTGTTTCCCTGTCTTCCACTCTGGAGCACCAGTTTGGTGTGAGGTAGAAGGAACCTATCTTGAATCAGACCTGTCTAGATTTGAGTCACCTGTGTGACTTTTAGCAAGAGATACAGCCTCTCATTTGTGAAAGTTCATAGTGTCTGAGGATTTGCTGCATCAAGAGTGAAGCACTTTACGTAATGCCTGACATATATGGTGATCATGAATAATAGTTGTCATCCTTGTTCCCTTACGGTGGAGGTTCTCAAAGTATAGTCTGGGAACCTCTAGATGGTCTCTGAGAGACCCTTTCAGGGGACCTGAAGGATTAGAAGTTCTTTCATAAAAATACTAAGACAGTATTTACCTTTTCACTTTCATTCTCTAACAGATATGTAGTGGAGTCAGAGCCAACATGATATGTGATGATACTGTCAGTGAAATATGTGCTTATGTATTGTATTTTTTAAATTCCTCAGTTTTAATTTCTAATATGATTAATATTGATATATAACTTATATAAACAAAAGTTCTAAGGTCTTCAGCAATTTTTGAGTATATAGAGTATATATGGAAGTGAGTGAGGCTGTGACCAAAAACTTTGAGACCCACTACCTTACAGGATCTACAGAGGTAGAAATAGTAGAGAGTTCCCAATACTGTGCCTACCAATAGTAAGTACTTAATCATATTCTGTAATCTAATTTAACAAAGGAGAGTATGTATTTGTATTATGCCTTAGTCCAGTTGTTTGTTTTGAACTGAATCTGACCTAAATTATCTTTCTGCTATTTTATTTTTATTTTTATTTTTATTTTATTTTATTTTATTTA